TCCACTTCAGGACAAGTTTCCATTAAAGACAGCGTGCACATGGAACAAACAATCCTGTTACTCAGTGGAACAAACAAGCTGTATGTCACAGAATAACTTCTTTTTTTTTTTAAACAAGCACTTGACGGGACCTCAGGAAGCATTAACCCAACAAATAAGAACAATAAACACAGAAACGACTTCTCAACTCGAGGATAATTAAGTAAAAGGATCCCAGAGGGCTTTGGGCCCGGTCTCAATTTTTTTCATCCAAGTGCTTTAAATGGAACAGACGGCAGCAGAATGTTAAATCAAGTTGTTTGACCCAGGAAAACAAAACACTGTTCTACAAGCACAGACTCACTTTTAACAAAACAGCCGTGAAACTATTCAGCATTTTCAGCTCAGTGCAGGGAACACAAAAAAATGCAAACGCCAACGTGGAAAACTTAATATAAAACRCTGCAACAGTGGTGAGAAATGCTTAAAGTCGCTTTTTGTTTTCAAGTGGTTGGAATCAGAACRCAACCGTCTATTAACTCACAGAGTAACTTTGCGTGCAGGGCCGGGCCGGGCCGGGCCGGGCCATATTAGGATTCTGGAGGCTCAGTGGCTCCTATCAGCATTCATGTGACCTAAACCGTGCACATTACATTTACACACCGTGGAGCTTTGTACTCCGATAACATGCAGTTTGAGGAAGGAGAAGCTGGAAAACAGAACAGTTTTGTTTACAAGTCAAGGTACAACGATCTATTTAGGATCTTATAAAAAAGGTTCAATGGGTTTCACTTTTGAAAACAACTGGCTGTATAAAAATATTACATTTATGGGAACATAACAGAAGTCTTTAAGTTCCAACCATGTTCATTTTAAGCGCTGAAAATGTGGTGTAGGTTAACATAAAAACAGGAACCAAACATGTAGTTCCACTTGAATTACCCAGCAAAGTGGTTAAATAAAATAAAATAAAATAAACTAAGCTACTGGTGCATGACAAACCACTAAATGTTACACTAAAAAACAATTTTTTGGCATAAGTGTGAAGCAAAAAATTTAAACACACACAAAAAATATAACAAACAAAACGTCAAAGTCATTTTTTAAACTTGATCTCATCTTCAAGTCATTCCCTGCGGGAGTTTTTACTTTCGTTGTGACCCRTGCAATTCCTTTTTTAGTTGAAAAWTTTTTTTTAAATAAACCAGCTGGAGCGTGACCGTTATTTTCGAGCGCGCTGTCTCGCTAACCGCTTCATAAAGCAGCAGGTCACAGCCGAGATGATGACAATGCCGACGAATAAAGCAGAAGAGACTCCGACCACCAGGGGGATGAGGAGGAGGTCTTCAACTGAGAAAAAAAAAGGAGGAAAAGATGAAAACATCAAGATTTAGACTCATATTTGCAAAAAGGCTGGAGAGACAGTGAAACTGACCAAATCTTCTTTAAAGTAGGCATATGATTTTAAATCTTTCAGTTGGGGTTTATATTAAGTGGAACTGCAACGCTTTGGTCTGAATTCCTCCTTATTGTAACTCCACAAGCTCCTCGTTCTCCCCTTTTATGAGACGTGTCTCAGATCAACTCATTTTGACGCTGTCTCTTTAAATCCAAATGAGGCACTTCACACCCTGCCCCCCTCCAACTTCCAGACCGGACCATTCTAGTTTGATAGAGGGGGTTTACGACTATATAGCGGTGCAGAAACGTTTTTTTTTTTAAAGCCGTCAACAAGGGAAGACTTGTTCATCCAGCCTTAAGCCGGGCTCCCACCAAATGTCTTTTGAGCAGCAAAAATGCRCCCAACGCCTCAAGTTGGACGCACTGAAACGTGTTTGGTGTGAACGCAGCAGCAGACTAGACGCTCGTCTGAAGAAGGAGGAGCGTCTTGGTTTTTTCTGGTCTGTCTTTAATGACGGGTGAAATAAAGATAAAATAAAGAAAATGGCTTTGCTTTATTTACTAAAGGGCAAGCGAACGTTGCGCACAGAATTAATTCACCAAATAATTTAGAGGTGGCTTGTTCRGTTAGTTTCACCACTCCAGGAGCTGCGAGCAGACGGACCTTTTTTTTTTTGTTGTTGTCCCGAGCCCAGTTTAACACAGCGGTCAGTTTAAAGAGCAGCTGACCCACATCGGTGCTGATATCTCCAGCCAGAACATCAACTACAGACGGGTGATTTCAGCTAAAGAGATCCTGTCCGTCTGTTTCGGGTTCAGGCAACCGTCACGTGGAAAAATTATTCTCTCTGATTGGTTGCTGCGGCACGTCGAGCAGCGTAAGTTCAATTTTTTTAACTCCAGCAGCGGCTGCTTTGGACGCGCCGCATGCACGGAAAATGCTCTGCCACATCCTTCCGCTACCTTGTGCGCTGCTCTAAACTGGTAAAACGCTCCGCGCTGCTCCTAGATGCGCGTCCACCATAGACTTTGCATGTAAACTGGCTGCTTTGGCTGCTCAAAASGCATCCGGTGTGTATCCGGCTTTACATGTTGGAGCCAGAGTCTGACCCAGAGCCACGAAGAGAATGAAGATAGTTTRTCCAGACCTTATTTGGCAGTTCTGTTGCAGTTCTGTTGCAGTTATTTTGCAAATTTTGTGATGTAATAGTTTAGAAGGCRTGATAGAAAATAAAAAGAACTGAACAGGTTGAAAAATATGACCCAAACCGAATATAAAGATACAGTACAGCATGTCTGCAGCACCTGGAGAGATTTYATTAAACTTTTCTGCACTGCACRTAGGGCTGCACAATATATCGCCAAAATATCGTCATCGCAATATCAGTGTGTGTAATATTCATATCGCAAAGGACTGCTTGGAGTGCAGTGATAGCTGACTATTGTATTTGAAGAGTTTAAGTTGTATTTTTCATGCTAATGTAATATGAGGAGGCTTTGGCTGATCTGCAGAGCTCCTTCAGTGACAGACTGCTGCATCCTAAATGCACAAAAGAACSTTACCGCAGATCATTCCTCCCATCAGCTGTTAGACTCTATAASCATCGCCACTCGCAACAATCTTGATGAGCATCCATGTTTGCGTCTGCATGCCAAACAACTCAACTAATAACCTGTGGCAATTGTACATCGTTTTTCCTGTACTGGAACACTGACTTAATGACTGAGTTCGAGTCAATTTGCACACCCCTGAATTTGACTCAATTTGCACACCCTCTCGGATCATGAATCTGTCATGACAGTTTTTTTCCTGTAATTTATATTTTTTCATCACAGTATCTTGCCTTATTCTTCATTTTATCCTATTTCACCTTGATAGCCCATTACAGTAATGATTATTCTTACTTTTATTCTGATCTATGTTTATTTTTTATTGTTACTATCTTTAATTCTATTATTATTGCTACAACTGATAATGTCACATAGCAATATCTGGTTTCTGTGGATTGATGTATGCATCCGCTGCTGCTATTACACCCAAATTTCCCCACGTGGGACAATAAAAGCTGTTTCTATTCTATTCTATTCTATTCTATTCTATTCTATTCTATTCT